CACACACACACACACACACATTTTTTGTTCTTTGACATGGGTCAAACATTTGAAAAATGAAAAACATGAAGAGTTAAAAATGCTCAGTGACAAGGTCTACACTGAAAAGGATTGAAAGAGCAGCCAATGTCTAGTGAAAACTATAAAAAAAACTTATTTATGTGTAAATACATTACTAAGGCAAGAATAAAAGTGAGCTTTGCATATTTCCTAAAGTTTAGCTATATAAATGTACATGTGCATAAGTTTAGGTTCAACACTGTGGATAACAAAAAAAAAATCACTTTGTATAAAACCAAAAAACATATGTATGAATTAGTTGTTCCAGTATTGGAGAGTACTCAGACATTTGGTTGCTATACCATAATTTGACTGTATTTAATCCCTAATGTTTTGTAATAATTCTTGCAGTGTTATTGGTTTTCAAAATGGAACATTCCCTTAGCTATCTATATTAGAAGGACATGTTATTCTTAGAGGATCCCAGGCAAGGATTGCTGTGTTAAGTGTAAAGAGCTGCAGCCACACCATGGTTCTCTACAATGTTCTGGCAACCAAGCACTCAACTCTTTCTGAATGGGCATTGGATTACTTCATATAAAAGCACCAAATATGCCACATGCTTCTTTGCACACTAACTTTCTTTTTGGGATAACCAGCTTTTTTGGTGGTTATGACAAAGTGCTATATATTTCTGAATGCAGCCAGGTCATCCACTTGCTCAGCGCAGTAAAGTACCTTCCCGATTCAGAGGAGGTGAATGTTATAATAAACAACAACCTTAAACTCTGCTGCAAAACCTGTATTTCTACAGGTTCTGTCCTGTGACTGATTGGGTATTAAAGCCTGAACACGGGTAGGACAATTTCTGGATATTTATCTACCACAGAATCAATTTTTTCAATAAGCAGGGTTTTTTCCAGTTTCTACTGTGTCAGTAGACCATTTTGCTGAAATGCTTTGCAAGCTGTGCGAAAAACATCAATCACTTACTTGGGTGGTTGCCTGATTTGTGGCACTGTGATCTACCACAATGGTAGATGCCTTCTCAAAAAGGCTTTGGAAAGCATCATTAGTTTTGCCTTTTTTGCCTCAGTGTAGGACTCAACAGACAGCCTGCATACCAGAGTTGGTTTGTGACGTTCTTTGGAGAGAAATATTGAGACATTGTAGCTCTCCAAACTGATCTCCTGCATCCTGACAGTTTGCTCTACATCATAGGACTGGCATAATTCAGGCTGTCTTTAGCCATTTTTGAAAGGCTGTCTTACCTTCTGCCTTGTGTTTAAGAAGTTGGCACAGGTTTCTGATATTACCAAGCATGACCTCTTGAAGCTCAATGTTCTTGAGCTAAATACTTGAAGCATACATTCTTAAGCAATGAAGGCCTTGCTTTCTTCTGTTCTTCTTGAGCACACACTGAGAAAAAGACTACTCAATAGCTTTTCTCTTTTTTCTTTTTTGTACAATTTTTGAGTCTACACTCATAAAAGCCCGATTTGATTTCCTAGCAGTTAGCAATTTTTTGTTTTCTCATCGACTCTGGTACAGTGGAAACACAAAACACCTTTTAAAGTGTCACTGTAGTTAGCAACATTTTATCAAGCAGCTTTTCTGAAAACATATCATATGATTGCCACATTCTTGGTTCTGATGAAATATTCGATACAGTTGTTGAGACCATGCTAGTTTTAAGTTACTGAGTTGAAGGCAACTGGATTTCTTTTTTGGTTCATGAAGCTGTCCCACATAGAATTCACACTTAGGTCTTGTGACCGAAATAACCCATCCATTTAGTCACATGTCAGCTCAACTGATGTGACCCTTAACGACTTGCATAAAAACCGGGTGGGTCAACGATCCTCAGGACACCCTCCAAGGGCACAACCCCACTAAGGGTTAAAATACTTTGTTTTTGGAACTGAAAAAGCTTCACACATGAGAGGTGAAATGTCTTCAAGAACCAAAAGGCCTGGTTTCCTTCATCTAGCTTGCAATTTAATATATCATTCTTTTTCTCCCAATTTCATTGAATTTAGAAAGCCAACCCGACAACCTCCGGTTAGCAGATTGGACAGCGCAGAAGAGCTAGCTCATCAGGACAGGGCTGTTTACACCTACAGGCCAGTGGCCACTCTTTCAGTGACGATGTGCACATCCTGGTTTGAGTGGCGAGCCGTTATGTGAAAAGGGGATGACATCTTTGAACTATTGTTCATCATCTTGGAGTGATGTGATTGCAGCCAATTCCTAACACTGTCTAAATGGTACTCATGCTACCAATGGTCATGACAATTTGCATACTAACAACCATGGAACTGAATTTGTGGCTCATTGTTAGTCAATGGTGCTGGTTTCAGTTGTTATGCAGCTATACCGCTCAAGTACTGTACTGTAAAGTTGTGGAAAACTGCAGTCAGCCGATACTGAAGAAGTCACCTGGATAAGCGATGAAACATTTCCATTGAAAATGCTGTGACCAGATGAAGAAAATCAACTTTCTGGGATTTTCTGACATGGATTAGTGAATAACCCTTAAGACATAACAGTTTTCATTCATAAAAGCATAGAGCTGCAGCTTTTTTTTATTTTATTTTTTTTATGATATATGCATTAATCAGTTCACCTTTGTTTTTGCAATCTGAAACAATCTAAAACCTAAACATGTTCAAGTTTGCAATCATAATTTTAATGTTCGGCATTTTTATTTAAAAAATGATTAACTGATTATCACAATGGTCACCAAATAATCTGTCACTCGATTAATCAAGTAGTTGGGGTAGCTTTTAAAAAGTTGCCACAACAGCTTTTATTATTTAAAAAATACCTCAGTTTTATAATGGTCACATGAGATCAGTATATGTTACCTGTAATTCTGGCGACGGCGACGGAGCAGGGGTGGCCATTGAACAGACTGAGTTGATCTTTATTATTGGAATATGGTCCGTCTCTTCTTTACACTGGCTGTGGAGTCTTTCAGCAACGAGAGGCCCAATGTTCAGCTTTTTTAGTGGTGTGTGCAGTCCAGGGTCTGGAAATAAGAAGGACAAAGGTTTACATTAACCTACTTTTTAAGTACTACTAGTGTAACATGTTAGCTCCTAGTAGGGTTATGCGAGTTGTGCATTTTATTAGAAGTCATGACCATATCCTTATCCATAATTTAATTATGAAGCGCCATGGCATATCATGGGACTTAGCCAGAAATTACAAAAGCTTCAGGCAATTGTGGATGTCACGTGACATTAAAAGGGATTACAGAAGGAGACATATTTCAGACCTTCATCTACAGCTTTCCTCTTGATTCGTCTGTGTGTTGAAGTAGTATCCTCTCTTTCCACCACACTCTCAGAAGCACCTGCAAAAATATAATATTAAAGGTAGTTACAAAAATACAAATATGCATTTTTTGCTACAAAAGAAAATAATTGTCTTGGTACTAAACATAGTAAGACTGGCTTAAGACCACCTCGGGACTCCTTTTTTAAATAAAATCTTTAAACTATAATAATAATATATTTTATATGTATATAATAATATATTTTAAAACCAAGTTGGACCAAGTTGTCTACTAATTGGAAAGTTGTTGGTTTGATGTCCGACTTCTCTGGACTGAAGTATCCTTGGGCAAGATAATGAACCTAAAGTTCAGCTGATGCATTGATTGATTTCTCATGAAGTGGTTAGAAATCTGTGCATTTTCTATCACATTTGGTAACAGATTCAGTGCCTTGACTTTGCTGGGGCTAATCTTGCATACATGTGTCATAAACCAAGAAAAGTCTGTTGTGAGCCAGGGAGAACCCTGAACTAAATGTCATCGGTTTGTTTTGTGTATGGGAAATATATTAAGACATAATGTAAAAAAACAAAACAAAAAACATTTGTTTTTGGCTGTCCAAGATGGTCCTGCTTGATTATCTTACTCATGGTAACTGACCACTGAAAGCATTATGTAATCTTTTTCATCTAATTCATGCTGATAATAATGATGATGATTAAATGATCAGCTCACTCATCAACATGTGTTCTTGATCCAGATAATGCTCCTTAATTTTATGTCGCTTTGGCTCATAAGCATTTGATGTAGCCTCGATGGTTACTGATAAGTCCGAATCAGAGGTGCAGGTTTTGTCCTCCAAGGCTCCCTCCACAGCTCTCCTCGTGTTTGTCAACTTGCCGTCCACGTGATTTTTCTCATCACAGTTGTCAGATGTAGTAAGTCCGCCTGAATCTGCAGACTCGGCTGCTCCTGTGTCTCGCAGAGAGTCATTAGCCGTGCGATTCATAATGGAGTCCACTTCCTCATAGAACCTCATGAGGCGTCTCGGGTCAGCTTCATCAGTCTTGCCCCTTTGAAGGGACCTGTAGAGATACTTGAGGTTCTTGTACTTTGTGTGGCACTGTTTCCAGTCACGTTCAATGCCTTGTTGCATTAACCTGTTCGAGATCTGGACAAAGATGTCCCTCTTTCTGGTTGAGCTCTCCAGCTGCCTGCGTATGCGCTCATCCGACCAGACTTGGATCAGGGCTCGCACCTCTTGGTCGCTCCAGTTTCGACCCGTGTCCGACACTGTGACTACTTGGAACTGGTCAGAGCTGGAGTCTGTGTGTGCTAGATGGGCGTCTGGGATAAAAGAAGAACAGATACGGAAGGAAAAGTTTAATTATGCTGCTAAACTCCACGGTTGATTTGGCAGATTTTTCTTTTTCGGCATACCTGCACTTCTCCATTTTACTTCCATTTCTCCATCCATGTCGTAATCGTCACTGTTGTCATCTTAAATGATAAATACATAAGAAAATTATTTTCACGAAGTCTTGAATCTAAAACAACTGCTTGCAAACTTGATGCTTACCATCATCAATTTCGATGACCACCTCACTCTCAGAGCCCGGTATCTGCCCTGTGTGGCCTGCTGCCGTTTGTAGCCTCCCTGCTTCCATTTCACCATCATACAGTCTCTTCTGCATTTCCCTGGTCCCATTTTCCAGTCCTTTGTCCAGTAGAATGGCCTCCACTTCATCAAAAAACTTCATGTATTTCCCCGGGCTTCCTGCACTGCTGCCTCCCGCAGCGTGTGCACTTTTCGCAGTCTTATAGTCATATTTCAAATTCTTGTATTTTGTACGGCATTGTTTCCAGTTCCGTATCACCCCAAAGTTTCTCTGCATTTGACGAGCCATCTCTTGGAATATGGATTTGTTGCGCAGCGTGCATTTCAAACGTTCCCGAATGTTGCGGTCAGCCCAGACGCACAGCAGCGCTCTAACCTCGTCATCCGTCCAGTGGCGGCCTCCCTCTTCAGCCACATTAGTAGAGTAAGAAACAGCTGAATGAAATCGAGTCTTCATTCCTGTGCACACATGAAAACATTGTAAATTTTGGCTAAATGTTGATTTGGAAAAAACCCAAAGAAGAACAAGATGACTTTTATGTAAGTGTTTGAATTACTTTTTAGCACAAGAAAGCTAAGAATAGTTTTAACTGCCGTGTCTGTTTATCCTTGGATGCCAGTTTTTGTTTTTTCCCAAGGTGGAAAAAGTCATGTTGTTATCATCAATAGTACAGTGGTGTTGAACATGTTTACCTTCCTGGACTGGGTAGATTCTTCTTGGATTATCCACATCTTCTTCCTCCCATGGCCTTTCAAGCGGCCTTTCTTCCACTCCTTGGCTGTAGTTTGCCGATGTGCCTGCGTCAGCCTTCCTGCTCTGAAGTCTCATGCTTCTGCATTTGGCCTGACACTCCCTCCAGCTGCGCACAACACTGAGCCTCCTCAGACGCTCTGAAATCACCTCAAATGTGCTTCTGCTCTCTACTACGTGCTGAGCTCCAACCTGGTCCCACACTGAGAGTAGAGCCAGCACTTCTGCTTCCCCCCACTGCCTTTCCACTGAGCCTTTTTCCTCCCCCACCTCACTATCACCTCCTCTTTGTCTCTCTGCTCCTCTCTCCATGTTTGAGCTGACCTGGAAACGCATTCTTTTCCCCCAGCCTGTCTGTCTCTGCTGCCCGGTTCCCTAGGCAACCAGGCGGTTAAGCCTGAAAGCAACGCCTTCATGCTGAAAAGCAGCCTCACCACTGGCTTAAGCTGTGTGCTGAGGGGGCGGGACTAAGTGTAATCTGAGAAGCAGCTTGGTAATGGATTGAAACTGCAGCAAGGCGACTCTCCATATATGGCAGCCTCACCGCAGGGAAGCAAATCTGCTTTTTCCTTTTTTGGGGGGGATTTTGTTTCTGCTCCATTTGGCCCTCGTTAAACCAGTTTTGATTTGCCTCAAGGCAACCGTAACTGACTCAAGTTTATTCTTGCAGAGAAGAAACAGAAATCATTCATGCAAAAAAACACACTTCCCACTAATACATGAAAATTTACACTGTAATTGTGTGTGTGTGTGTGTGTGTGTGTGTGTGTGTGTGTGTGTGTCTCTACTCAGGGGACAGGAAAGTGCTGGGATTGTCACAAGTAATGGAGCCAGTCCACCCACGTACACAGCACACAAGGTAACACTGAATCATGATCAGAAGCTTCTTATATGATAAAACAGAAGCACAGTTTAACCCAGCATCTCAAAAACAGACCCAGGACGTATTTGGGTTGCGTCCTGAATATATTTCCATTTGGCACAGTTATATCAAAACAACCCAGCTGGTCAGAATCACACTGAGCACTTTAATGTTTGGCCTTTACAGACATGTTTTAAAGCCTTCAGACATCCTCATTGTTTGCTGATTTTCTGCTTTTTAACATCACTTTTATTTATTTTAAAATATTTTTGTGCAAGTTAAAACCTTCACAGAGCAATGTTGTCATTTTATAGGGAATGGGATTAGTGAGCACCGCTTTTTCACCAGAGGCTCTCACTAAACTGCGCTATGGTAACCTTGGCATTTGCCACACACGCTATTCAACCACTGGGATCTCAGAGCTGCAGAACTGCCAGCCCTTTGTGGTGGATACACTGCATGGCAAGATTGCTGTAGCACACAATGGAGAGCTGGTTAATGCCCATGCCCTGCGGAAAAAGGTGAGGAGGGGGCTCTGCTTGTCCACACTGAATGTTGCGCATATCAATGTGACATAAAAATAATGAACTGAACACACACAGACACAGTTTTTCTTTCTGCTGAAATATTTATTTGCTATATCCAATCTTAACGAAGGTTATGGGCTGGATGTCAACACTTTCACATACCAGAGCTGCATCCATCATCCAGTCAAAGGATTTGTTTGACTATTAAGTGTTTTGCGCTCTCAAAAGAATTTGTATCTGCAGTTTATGCTCGCATTAATGAGGTACAAAATGAATAGCTTTTTAAAATGTATATCTCTTAAGAGCATTTCAGGCTGAAAATCTAAAAAAAAAACCCAAAAAACCCCCAATCTATAAAATGTAAGCTACATTAAACCAATTTTGCCCCAGGGTGGCTGTGGCTACAACGTAGCTTGCCATCACCAGTGTGTGAATGTGTGTGTGAATGGGTGGATGACTGGTTGTGTAAAGCGCTTTTGGGTCCTTAGGGACTAGTAAAGCGCTATACAAATACAGGCCATTTACCATAATTTAACAAATGTGTTCCCATCCTGTCTTTTTCTCACCTTTCTCAGCAACCTCTCTTCCAATCTGAGGCTAAAATACACAGGAAGTTTTGATTATATTTATGAGACTGTGCACTGAGTGAGAATTCCACACATGATTTGCCATGAAAAATCAGTACCAAATCATTAACTGCTCTCTTAAACTTCACTCCAAATTTCAAAAGTCTGAACGCTCAAACAGGCTTTTTGAAGTTCTGCCATCACTCTGATGGTTCAGTAAATCGATTACATTTACCTTGTCAAAGGTGATTTGAGACACTTACTCATGCTGGTTGTATAAGTGGATCTTGAGAAAGCTGTATTACCATAATCTGCTCGTTCGACACTGCCATTTCTATGATTATGCTTTCATACAAACCTGCACATTCACTGAGTGCATATTTATAACTGTCCTCTTTTTTTTTCTTCTTTTCTTTAAAGGAATCTTATGACAATCCATGCACTTTATATTATATATCTAGTCGACCAATTACGATGAATTAATACGATTTTTTTTTTTTTTAAACGCAGACCTTGTCAGCTGGATTTGGTTTTTAACCAATTATACATAACTTAACCTTTCAGAAGGAAATTTAAAGCTTTACATCAAATAAGTCCTATTCTTTAGGTAAATTTAGACTGCCTCCCCTTTTTCCTAACAAGAAGTCAGTATCTCTATTCATAAGTGGCACTGAAACATGCTCAGTCCAGCTGGATCACATCAACCTCCCTTCTCGAGTGCACTTTGTGATCACTAACAAAAATCTGTGTGTCATGTATATGTGTTGTTTTATTTATTTATTTTTTTTTAAGACAAGCCAGACCTTTATATGGAATATATAGTACGTACTACCTATTGAACTGGACGGTGAAATAGATCATCAATAGACCAATGGATTAACTTCATACTCTTAGTTGTCCTTTATGCTCAGCAGCCATCTTGGAAACTGCTTCAGGTGATTATGTGGACAATTATTTTAAAGTGATTTAGTTGATAACATTCAGTTGGCAAGTAAAGGTCACTGTTTCATTTCCAGCCAGAGACACAAATCCTCTTTGTGCATCAAGAAAGTCAGCCGGTATAAATCTCTGCCAACTTAAACATGTGGCCAACCTCTCGTGACAAGCCAGAATCTTAAAGTAGCTTTGTCTGATCTGAAAAACCCATAAATTTCATTTTGATGGCCGCTGAGACGTAAAAGCAGGACTGATTTAGAAATAAAATGTAAAAAACACAAAACACTTTTCTCCAGAGTCCTGACTCACATTATAGATGCAATAATTGAAGGAAAAACAATAAGTAGACTTATGTATATCTTTGTGTCATTATATAGCAGCTGTGCCTAAGCGCAGTTAAAACTATCATGAACATCAGGCGAGCCTAGACGTCAGTGCAACAACATGATTGGCCTGTGTCTCTTTCCCAGCGTGGCTGTTGAGTGGCTCTTTGAGGGCAGGGGTGTGACAACCATTTCCATTATAAAATTTTCCAAAGACTGCTATTCCACAGAAAGTAACATTATTCCATAATTAATCAGTCACTATAAATGTGCCTTGTAGGTGATGCGCCATGGTGTCGGCCTCTCCACCAGCTCAGACAGCGAGCTCATCACCCAGCTGCTGGCACTGACTCCACCTATGGAGGAGCTAGACTCACCTGACTGGGTTGCCAGGTTACTGTTGTGACCTAATGATACATAAGCATATAAGCATAAATATTTTTGCTTTACATTACTTTAATACTGTTTTTATTTGTTTATTTTTTTTGTTGTAGAATTAAAAACCTCATGACTGAAACGCCAACATCATACTCACTGCTGGTCATGTTCAAAGATGTAATCTACGCAGTGCGTGACCCTTATGGAAATAGGCCACTGTGCATTGGGCAGCTCGTTCCCATCTCTAAACTGCACAATCCAGGTATCTACACAGTTGTTGCATGTGACCGTTGCATCAGAATTAGTGCAACTGCAGAACACAGGCATGTTTGCTCTCAAAAGACTAGCTTTACTGATAAAGAGGACGCCTCACGAGAGGTCAATGGTTGCAGCAGAGCTTTTGGCCCTTTTGATTTTGTCAGAGGTCAGATGTGTAAGCTGGTGAATGATTAACTTGATTCTTGTTTTTTTTTTTGTTTTTTTTTTTTTGTTTTTTTTGTTTTTGTTTTTTTTAAGCAGGCGCTCAAGAGGAAGACACTGAGGGGTGGGTTGTGTCATCAGAGTCGTGCAGCTTCCAGTCGATTGGTGCCAAGTAAGCATTTGTTACCTTTGCAAAAGTATTCTTTAGTATAAAAGGAACCGTAATGCCAGGTGTAAATCATTTTTATAACCTTATTTTTTATTGTTCTTTCTTTCCCAAAGGTTTCATATCATTTGCCTTAGGCCACAAGTACTTTTTTTTTTTTTTTGTTGTTTTCCCCCCCCCCCCCCCCATAAAGATGGCTTTCGATAACAATCCTGTAACCTAAATGACAAGTTTTGACTAAGGCTGTCAGTGTTAATCGCGTTAAAATGACGTTGACGCGTTAACGCAGCATATCTCCGTTAACGACCGACATGATTAATGCCGACAGCCCTAGTTTTGACACCTTAGTATATTCTAGTAAAGACGTGATTCAATGACCATCGTAATAGTTCTGGTGTTTCCCAGCGGTAACGACATAGCTTTTGATGCTCGTGCGGCCAGCTACCTAGCCTGACTTGTCTCCCCAATGTGATGTTTGTGTATTTTATATACGGTCGGCAAGGTCAGTCTCTTAATTGCCCCTTGGGGATAAATTCTTCTGAATCTGAATGCATGAACAGTGAAATGGTGTTCCTTGAGTCCATCCGTTCATTGTACTTTTTTGTCGTTATTGATTAACAGGTACTACAGAGAGGTCTTGCCAGGAGAGATAGTCCAGATATCCAGACATGGTGTCAAATCTCTGAGTGTTGTGCCCCGACCTGAGGGAGACCTCCCAGCCTTCTGCATTTTTGAATATGTTTATTTTGCCAGACCAGACTCTATTTTCGAAGGTATACATATTTATTATGGGTAACACACTTACTGATTACTCATTTCTTAAATGTATTAATGCTGAAATATCAATGTACTACAGGGCAGATGGTCTATACTGCCAGACAGCGATGTGGGCGGCAGTTGGCCATCGAGTCTCCAACTGATGCAGACGTTGTCAGCACTGTGCCAGAGTCTGCAACCCCTGCTGCTCTGGGCTACGCTCAGCAGGTCTGTCTACAGTGTGTCTGCTCCACTTCAGTAATCTTATAATATACCAGGTGGACTTACAGTCTCACTAGTTTTTCTTCTGTCTTCTTCTCACAGTCTGGTCTTCCATACATTGAGGTTCTGTGTAAAAACCGCTATGTTGGAAGAACTTTTATCCAGCCAAACACCCGCTTGAGGCAGCTAGGAGTGGCCAAGAAGTTTGGAGCACTGACGGACAACT